TTAGTTTTCATCAGTTTAGCGCTAACCTTGCAAATACATTTTGGATGCTAAGATATATAGTAAATAAATTGATTTGGAAACTCAACAACCTTCATGGTATAAATAATTCATGCCATTGTGGGTAGCACATGCTTCCTGCATGATCTATATACATTTTTTTTTTATAAAATCATAGTTACAGCATTTTTCCCTTCTGTTTTAAATAATCAGAGGAGTGGAATCTCTAATCATTTCTTGTTTCCTCTCATTTTGCTTACAAGGAACTCTTATGTGGCTTCTCAAGTACTAGGTACAAAAATGATTCTATTGTCTTCCAAAGAACAATTTAGTGAGTGTCAGGCATTTGGGAGGAAGAGAGGCAGAATGGTTTAATGGAGAAAGACAAACCTGTGTTCAAATTCCATCATATACTTGCCTTCAATTCAGCAGAGACTCGACTCTCATTTTACTTATGCATGCAAAGTATGCAGCATTGGAAATGGTGAAAGCTTCATCAAATCTAGCTTCCCATTCTTTGTCATCAAGTTCCATAGGGAAAGGGAGGTAATGAGTTGTAGACTTCTAAGGTAATACAGATACTAAACTGTGTGGGTGTTTTTAGGAGTAAGAGTACTGTGGCATCTCAAATTAAGCTGCTTTTGTTTATGCTCTAGGATCATTGTTCCAGATTTTTGTTTTTATTTGTCAAGATCATTTAGACTTTCAACTGGCACTTGATCATATTAAATCAGCCAGAGGAGGTACAGTGATTCCAGGCATCAGTAGACACTCCAAGCCACTCTACGCTGGACCTTTACTCTGAGTGTTGGGGTCCCGGTGTTGGTGTACACCAAAAACACCTTAAAGACACTGGTCCTTTTGCAGAGTGAACCCAGGAATTTGAGCTGATGAGGATGCCTAAGAGCTCACAGGAAACTGTGCTCAGTTAATTTTAATGTGAGAGTTTCTTTTTGTTGTTGTTGTTTAAAATTCAAAATATTTATAGATGGATACTTGAATATCACTTCAGGTCATAGATAGTCTCACTGGATCCCCCAAGATTTCTTTTTGGCTTCTCAACTATCTGAAATGGAGCAAATATGTTTTTGTTCCTCTCTTTTGATTACACTTGAGTGATTTGAATATGCTTTTAGTTATTTTGGGTGAATGTCTCCCACTAATAAGAATGGTCAAAGTCATCTCCTCCACCATGATGATTTCTTTCATCGAAGAAGTGCCCTCAATGGCGAACTGGTCTTCCTAGCTAATTATTTTAGTAATAATATTAATAATAGCTTAGGCTCAACTACGTTAAGTCACAACTCATCATTTCAATTAAAAACTCTGTAACAATGGAATAACCTATCTATCATTATGCAGAAGCCCAGCTGATTTCTGTTCCTGTGGTATAGTTTTCAATTAATTTGCTTTGTGGGATTCACTAGAAAGTTGTATTTTCTAGTTTTTTTTTCAATATTTATTTATTTATGCAGAACTGGGATACAAGTCAGAAGTGCAGAGGTAGTGACAGGATTCATCAGAGACACAGTGGAGAGCAGGACAGGCAGATCAGTGAAGTACACTGCTGAGGGGAGCAGCGGGCCAGAAAGGAGAGGTGTGTTGCACATTGTGGATCACCTCCGGCACTGAGATTGAACTCGCATTGAAACAGCTGCAGCTAGCTTGCAGTGCCACACTCTAAACCATTGCACCACCAGGGAGGGCCCTAAAGTTGTATTTTCTTATGGGTGAATATTTAGATTTTTTCCAGTTGCCTCAGTGGAATGATTTGGCAACATGTCCTCAGAAAAATGTGCAAAAGTCTTGGTATCAGATATACATTGGGCAGAATTAATCACCCATTTTGTGGGTATAGGTATGAATGCATACAATGGGAGAAAATTCCATTTTGATTTTTGAAGAAAACAATAGCCTGACTTCTGTTTACCCCTCAGCAGAATAACTTTATATTGAGACCAAAGACTTAGGCAGATTTTGACATATCATGATTAACTGTTCATTGTGTTGCTGCTAAAGGCCTTAGGATTGGCCACCAGCAATGTGAAATGTCCAGTGTCTAGGGCTGGACATGTGTGCTTATGTGTGTGGTGTGTGTGCGTGCATATGTGCAACGATGCATCATGTAAGGAGACACAATCCCTGTTGTACATATATACTAACTTACATAGAAGCTTGTGGGTGGGAACTGAGGTTGTAGGCTTCTAGCTGAAGGGGCACCCTCTTCCTCTATAAACCCACTCATGACCCTGGGAACTTGCACCCTCAGCACTGCAGGCACAACAGGAAAGTGCACATGCCTTGGCTGCACTGCCCCTGCAGTTGTTCTCTGTTTGAATCCTCAGTTGCTGTCCCTGCAGCTCTAGCTCTAAATGTGAAAATCTTCTCACCTGGCCAGTAGGGCACAGAAGGTGTCTCCTGTGTCTGTGAATCTTCACATATGCAAGTGGCATACAGTGGTCCTCTGTGCACCCAGACTGGCTCCAGTATAGGTCTCATGACCAGAATAAATCAGATTATGTAATATGTAATAATTTAAGTTTTTTAAAAAAGATTGATTTGTTTATACATACAGAACTGGGGTACAGGCCAGAGGTGCAAAGGCAGTGAGAGGATTCAACAGAGACAGAGGGGGAGCAGAACAGGCCAATAGACGAAGCACACTGCTGAGGGGAGCAGATGCAGGTCAGGAGAGGTCTGCTGCACCATATGGGTTATCTCTGGGGCGGGGATCAAACTATTTGATCTCAGTGGCAACATTTATCTTTTAATTTTCTGTTAGTGATACACAATACAGAAATTTGAGGGACAGTGCCTGGTTGCTTACTCAAGTATTCTCTTCACCCCTGGTGGCTGACTGTCAGAGAGCTGAGTACTTGATCCTCATTGCTTCACTCCTTGTCGAGTCATGTTTACTGATTTGTACTTTGCCTCTGTGCTCTTGCAGTGTTCCAAGAGTACTCTAAGACTGGCCAAAGGCTCCGTGTTTAGAGCTTGTCATTGTCTGTTATTTGATGAAATGTGTTCAGTGCACCATTGTCTTTATAAGGACTCTTGGAATAAATTCTACTCTTGGTGTAGGGCTGGGGCTTCTCCTAGAATGATGATAATTTTGTTAAAGGAATATAGAACTTTCTGTTGGATACGTGAGGTGTAGTAGCTACTGCCTTCATCACTAGGAAGCTCAGAGTCAGATTTGCTCCCTAATTTTAGCAATTTGGGGGATGCATATGTAGGGATGGTGACTTCTACTCTTGCTATTTTTTTATTATTGTTTAATTCTTTCATCCCCTTATATGTATGCCTCTTACTATATTTTCTTAATACTTCTACTCTGGCAAGTTATCTCAGATCTCCTTAACTTGAGGTAGACTTATCTTTTAAGAAACTGTCCGGATGTCCCTTAGGTACACCAGACTTTAAATAATATATATATATATATATATATTTTTTTTTTAAGATTTATTTATTTGTGCATACAGAACTGGGGTACAGGCCAGAGACTCGGGGTGGTGAAAGACTTCACCAGAGACAGAGCAGGGAGCAGAACAGGCAGATCGACGTAGTACACTGCTGAGGGGAGCAGGGGGCGGGTCAGGGGAGATCTGCCACACCATGTGATCACCTCCAGGGCAGGCGGGAATCGAACTCATGTGGAAGTGGTTTCAGCTTCTTAGTGCAGTGCTTTAACCCGCTGCACCACCAGGGAGGACCTATTTTTTAAAGATTTATTTATTTATTTGTACACCTCTGGGGTACAGGCCAGAGATGCGGAGGGTGAGAGGATTCTCCAGGGACAGAGTGGGAAGCAGAACAGGCATATTGATGAAGTACACTGCTGAGGGGAGTAGCAGGCGGGTCAGGAGAGGTCTGCCTTGCCATGTGGATCTTCTCTGGGGCAGGTGGGGATCAAACTCATGAGGAAGTGGCTTAAGCCCCTTTGTGCTGCGCTTTAACCTGCTGTGCCACCAGGGAGGGCCCACCAGACTTTATATTTTATAGGGGACATTCTTTCTGTCTTTGGTTTCAAACTTCCCACTTTTTTCTCTTTGACTAAAGGGACCCCGTCCATTCAGTCATCTAAGTTTGGATTCTTGCTGTCTTTACCTTCCCTCTCACATTGCATTCAGTTACTAAACAAATCCTTTTATTCCAACCTCTGCATTACCTTTCCAATCTCTCCTGACCCTTTCATTCATCCATAGTTGCTGAATGACTTCACTGGTGCCCTAAACTGGCTTCCATTTCTTTGGCATTTTCCACCTGTAATCCATTATACACGTTGGTGACAGTGGTTAAAAGTCATTTGTTGTCCTATGGTTCTCATTGCCATTATTTACAGAATGAAGCTTATGTTCCTCACATGACATTCAAGGCTCTTAATAATTTGCTTCCCAACTTGTGATGTAAATCTCATTTCCATCTGTTCTTCCCTTTTTGCATCTTTCACAGAAGCCATGGGCCCACTCATTCGTCCCCAAACAGAAAATGCATTTCAGCACCTAATTCTCTTGGACTGAAATGCCTCATCTTGGCTCCTTCAAGCCCTTTTTTCCCTAAAACTATCTTCTGTGAGATTTCCCTCTCTTTTTTTCCCCACTACAAAAGAACTAATTGTCCTCTGCAATCTTGCCATCTTCACTTTCTCAATACTGTGAGAAAATGCTGTTGTATCTTCCTCTTGGATGCTGTTGTATCTTCCTCTCTAAATCATAAGCTCCTTGAGGAATTTGGCTGAATTGAAGGAGAGAATATACCAGCCTTGCTTATAGAAATCAAAGTGAACTGACTGAGGCACTCTGGACTCCCTCGAGTCCATAATGACTTCATTGGGTAAGGATCGAAAATGTGGCTAATTTTCAGTTGACCTTAAAATGTTAATATTAGATGTACTCTATGGTAATGGAAAATTTGTAGTACTGTCATGATAAAGGTTCTAGCAGAGGGAGTTTTTAAAAATCCCATACAGAAGTAATTTATCAGGTTTTCTTTTTTTCTTTTAGGAATAGGCAAGTCAAGAGGCTGAAAATCTGAAGAATGTTTCCAAAGGGGAATCTAGCTGTCACTTGCTGGGTATGGAGGATCATGAAGAAGCTATTTCTATTACTTTCTCTCTTGCTGTCCCATGCAGCTCATTTGGAAGGCAAAAAGGATAATCAGTTCGTCTGGAAACCAGGTAGGAATGCCCTCACTGTTCCCTTGTCCCATTTTCATTAATAAGAATATTCTTTCCATTCTTGTTCTTATTTGTGGAACAGTGGGAAATATCCAGAGAGAGAAGGTAGCCTTTTCATTATAAAACTTCCATTTGATTTTTGTTCCTGCATAATTGTCACCTGCATCTCTGATACTTGTTATCCTCCTATATTTTCATGTTGTTGTCAATTAAAAGTTATGATTTCCATAGTTACATCTGCTTCTTCTTTGTCAAATACAGTACCACTGTACAGCACATTTGTAGAAAATTGACATCTGAATTTAGCTGATCTCCTCAGCTACAAATCCTTTGGACCAGTTTGTATGTCTCTTTCTAAAACTAGCATGAACTAGTTATCTATCTATTATTGCATGCATTTTAGCAGCTATTCTGTATATCTCGGTCTGGAGCATGAAAAATTATCCTAACAACTTTCCTCATTAGTTGTGACTAGAAAGTTGCCTTAATGTGTTTTGTGATCCTTAAATACCTTATACATAAGAATATAAATTAGCTGAGTCGAGGTTTGGAGACTTGCATAAATTATGTTCTTTTCTAAATATTTCCTCAATTTGCTATGGCAAAGATGTTTTAAATTTAATTTTAAAGGCCAATATTTTATTATATTATGAACCCTACACGTCTTGACTCTTTATATCACTGATGTTTTTCTTTGCTTTGAATTTTAATTTTCTTAAAGTTACACAATAAGCTCATTTAAAAAATTTATTATCCAAGAGTCCATTATTTGCAAATACAGATGAATTGTATACACTTCATGTCATAGAATGGTAAATGTGATTTTCAAAAGATCTATGATCCTCGAAGAATTTTCATTTTAGTCTCATCAACTGTAAATTAAATAGACTGCAAATATATTGTGCCATCATGGAAATGTATATAAAAGTAATATTTGTAATATTTAAATGACTTTGCAAAAATGAAAGTGAGTTATGTTGTAAAGTATATGAAGTGAAAAACTGAGCACCATTAGTGATATAGTCTGCAGGAAATTTAATTGCATTAAAATCCCTATAAATTAATTTTATTGTGGGTTCTAATATCACATTATATATTGCATATTTTGCTTACAGTAGCTTTGGGAAGCTATGGAAATGATTCTAAAAGTAAGTCAATATTGCATTCCAGCAAATGGAGCTTTTTTTTTAATTATCAAAGGCTAAATATTTTGCCAAATCTAAATAAGCATATCAATGATGGTAGTTTTATTTAAAGTTCTCAAAAAATTAAAAAGCAGCAAATCTGAGACATGCATGAGAAATGTTAAGAAAATGTGCTTATTTTGAAACAAATTTTTTACATTTTGTGTTTTTTTCCTTAAAGTATGTCATTGAAATGAGATGATACAGATCCTCTCTACAGAGGACAAATACTTTGTTAACTGTCCTGCTTAAGTTTTAGAAGTGAGCCCTTTCCATCAGACACACTATTTAGTGAACATGTATCATCTTCATCTTCCCCCTATTCATTACTACTTTCCCTTCTTAATGTATCCTTAAAAGGGTTATAATGTATTTATTTCCCATTTAATTTCACATCTAGATAGTAAAAACTTTCATTTGTACATGACTACACATTTTAAATGTAGAAAAAAACAGTAAGGTCTAAAATGAAAAGCAAAATTCCAGACAATGTGTTCTACTCTCTAACCACTTATGTATTCTTCAGAAAATCTTCTTTGCACATGTAAGGACATCTCTATACATATTTGTGTATGCAAATCAGACAACACACACACAGATTATTACTATATTATTAACTAAGGTTCTGCCAAAAAATAAATGGTACTTGCAAATTAGGTAATTGTGAAGAGTTTCCTAAAAGGACTATTTACAAGGGAGAGAAGGTGTGAGTAGGTTAAGACCAGCAATAGGAACTGAGTGCCCCTGTACTGTTGTTGTGTGGGGAGTCATGAGGTCTTCTAGTTCCACAGGAGCAATGAAAGGAATTATTTTCTGGGTTCTGGAGAAAAAAAATCTTGGTGGAAAGGAGACCTGACCATGGCCTTTAGAGAAAATAATCAACCTGCAATTGAAAACAGAAAGAGGATTAAAGGGACAGACAACCTTTGACCTCATATCCTGTGCTAGGGCTCCCACTGGCTGCATTCAACCTGAGGCCACAGGGCAAGGGATGCCTTTATGTTTCCTTCTATATCAGCCTTGCAGGCAGGGGCTGAGTAGAGAATGTTGGATAAAAAAAATAACTTAAAACATATAATCTGTCCATACTTAGATGTCCATGCTGATATACATTTTGCTTCATACAATGCACTCAGTATGATTCAAAATGATACTCTGAGTATTTTTTTTTTTTGCAGCTTTTATTATGTAGGGGTGTTCTGATGAGCATTACCTTTTTCCATTATATATGGGTTAGTGTCATTTTTTTTTTTAAGATTTATTTATTTGTGCCTACAGAACTGGGTTACAGGTCAGAGGCTCAGGGGCTGCGAGAGGCTTCACCAGAGACAGAGTGGGGAGCAGAACAGGCAGACTGACGAAGTACACTGCTGAGGGGAGTAGAGGGTGGGTCAGGAGAAGTCTGCCACTCCATGTGGTCACCTCCGGTGCAGACGGGAATCGAACTCATACGGAAGTGGCTTTAGCTTCTCAGTGCTGTGCTTTAACCCGCTGCGCCACCAGGGAGGGCCCAGTGTCATCTTTTAATAAATGCATAAGTATTATTTTGTACTTTTGTTTAATAACTTATTTAACCAATGTCTGTTGCTTTGCTTTTCTTCCCTCATTGGTTGGCATTTCAGTGATTTTCATTGTCTTGCTAAAATAAATAATACTGCCATGACTGCAACATTATTTTAGAGATAAGCAATAAATCAGTTTGAGTAGTCCTATGCCCTGGAACATTTCTGGATTATTACTTTCAAAGATAGCCTCAATATTTTAGAATCTTTTACTACTTATACCTGAGGCTGTTATATAATATTTAGATTAAAATAATATTGTAATTGAAATTAGCTGTGATTTTTTTTGAAGTGTGTTATCAATTATGTCAACTCCATTCCAATGCAATCTGGAATTTGAACAGATTTCTGTGGAGACCCAGATAAATATACTTCATTTTAGAAACCTAAAACATATCTTCTGAGCTTAGACAGTAATTGTCAACAACTTAAAACCTTGTTTATGTTTGTATTTTCACCCTTGAGTCCATAAGTTTGATGTTAGTCCACCTCATCCAAATAAGAGGCATATCTAAGTTAGCCCTTGCTTTGGGAAAACAATATTGATAAATCCTAAGATTTATATATATATGTGTGTGTGTGTGTGTGTGTGTATGTATGTATGCACACACACACTGTGTGACTAAGAACTTTTGTATTGAGAGAGTGTCTGGTGAGTTGCAGCCTTTGGGGTCATTGATCTGATAAGGCTGTTGAATGCCTGTCATCACTTTAATGAGAGTCTCTGATCTATATTTAGTGTCAGGCAATCTCTCATCTATGCTAGGAGAAAAAGATCATGTCAGCAAAAGTATCAGATAAGGAATGATGTTACTTCTTGCTTTAAGTAAACATATAACTATTCATGCCTCTGTGCTTGATGGGGATGAAGAAGTTGTATTCTCTAAAGCCACAGTAACTGGTGGTCTTTTGAAATATTTCTCAGTGTTAGTTCTAAGAGGTTTATCCATTCCACTAATATTTGTTTTCATTATATGCCAGGAACTGTTACTAGAATGTGAGATATACTGAGAATACAACAGATAAATCATTTGTCTTCATGAATAAGTTAATAAATACAATCAAGAAGTTAAGTAAGTATGTTAGGTGTTGTGCTTAGGAGAAAAGATAAGACAAGTGAGAAGAACATGCAGTGAAAGATGAGAGATTGAAATTTTAATTAGTGGGTTATGGGACGCCTCACCAAGGAAGCAGCTTTGAGTAAAAACCAGAAGGAAGTTAGCGAACTTAGATTGGAGTGAAGAAAATTCTAGATTGAAGAAACAGAGGCAAAAAGTCCTGAGGCAGGAACATGTGGAATGTTTGGGAATCAGAGAGGAGACCAGCATACTGAGACAGTTATCACAGAGAAGTTGATCCAACCAGAGACTATGGGGTCTAATCACACATCTCCTCATAGGGCAAAAATACAATTTTGGATTGTACATTGGGTTAGAGAGAAAGACACTGAGAGTTTTAAGAGAGTGTTGACATGTCTTTCTTTTTTATGTGATTTAATTGGGGTCATTGCTGATGCCCAGTTGAGAATGTTGGAGCAGGGAGACAGACAGTAGGCCACAGTAGAAATGAGGAGTGATATGATAATAGCTTGAACTAACATAATGCCAGTGAAGGTGGTGAGGTGGGGTTGAATTTTGATATATATATATATATATATATTTTAAAAGATTTTTTAACTTATTCATACAGAGCTGGGGTACAGGCCAGAGGAGCTGGGCTGGTAAGAGGATCACCAGATACTGAGGGGGGGGTACAGAACAGGCTGACTGACAAAGTACACTGCCGAGGGGATCAGGGGGTGGGTCAGGAGAGGTCTGCCATGCCATGTGGGTCACCTCTGGGGCAGGGATCAAACTCATGCTTTTAGCTTCTCAGTGACTTTTAGCTTCTTAGTGCTGTGCTTTAACCCGCTGCACCACCAGAGAGGGTCCTAATTTTGTTATATTTTAAAGCTATGTTTTTGTTTGTTTTTTTAAACAGGGTAATTTTTACTGAGGGGACATTTGTTGATTTCTGGAGATACTTCTGGTTGTGACACTGAGTTTTGCTATTGACATCTTTGAATACAAGCCAGGGGTGCTGCCAAACACCCAGAATGCTTAGGCCAGCTCCACACAAGAATGCGTTATCAGGCCCCCAAATGTCAGTAGTGCCCTGATGAAAAATGCTCACTTAACATAAAGTCTGCACGGTTTGCTGATATCTGGGCCCAAAGAGGTAGGCAGAGGAGGGAGATACTGAGGTTCTGCCTTGA